AATTTTACCCCAGGTGACGTGCCCCTTAAGAGTTGAGCAGAGTCAACAGTAGGGTAAAGAAAGGAAATCAAGGGAAAAGAAGAAAGAGTGGGAAAAGAGAGGTACTGGGGAATGAAATTATGCTTTGTATACATACCAATGTATCACTGTGAATCTCACTTTTATGAATTATGTACCATTTTTTTTAAAAAGGAGGGAAGCCAGTAGAGTTGAGAAAAGGCATTGAGGGGGAGAGAATAGGAGAGAAAAAGGGAAAGCACTAGGAAATGGTTTGATCAAATTATGTTATGTGCATGTATGAATATGTCACAATGAATCCCACTATTATGTACAACTGTAGTGCACCAACAAAAACATTTTAAAGAAGGGTTGATAAGAGGCAATCATAGGAAGTTCTGTGGCTCAGTCAATGTAGAGGCACTGGAGTGAATGTACTGAGGCTGGGCATTGCTATCCTACAGGTTGGACTGGGCCACTGTTCAATTGTATGGTTTATGTACAAAGATGCCTGTAAAATGATTTTCAGGAGCATGTGTTGAATCTAGTGGGGCTCTTGCCTAGTGTTTTCAAATTTACAACAGACACAAATGTTCAAGATTCAGGAAGAAAAAATAAGAATTCCTGGAAATTCTTAGGAATTCTCCAAATTATAAGTTATTCCATATTTTTCCTAATATATTACTTATATGTTTTTAGGTAATCATGAGTGAGCATAATAATAGTGAATTACTTCCATAATAATAAAGAGTGAATTATTTTTAGTGGTAGAGTCATGCCAAAAATTTTAAGAGGTTTTCTTTTTAAAAAAATCTATCTTTCTATCTTATAAAACAGGATTTATTATTATTATTATTATTATTATTATTATTAAGCAGTATACTGTGCTAATCAGCTTTCTGTTATTGTAAGAAATACCTGAGATAATCAACTTATAAAGAGAAAAGGTTATTCTGGCTCACAGTTTCAAATGCTTCAGTCCATGATTAGTTGGCCCCATTCTTTTGAACCTGTGGCAGTGCATCATGGGCAGGAGCATGTAGTAGAACAAAACCACTCACCTCATGGCTACAGAGCAAGAGCGAGAAAAAGAGACCAGGGCCTCACAATTCTCTTTGAGGTCATGCTCGCTGGCAACATCCTAACAGAATCTACCTCTTAAGAGTTTTACCATCTCCCAATAGCTCCTAGCTGGGGACTCAGCCTTTTAAAACATGGCCCCTTGGGGAACATTCCAGATGCAAAGCATAGAAATATGTGACACAATTTCATATTATAATAATATGCAAAATGACCTCCACCTAATAATGATATTTGACAATATAAAACACTAAAGAAGGGGAGAATTAACACAAAATAGATTCCATGTAAAAACCATCTTAAAAATTGAAAGATGATAAATATTAAAATTTATAAAATATTATTCTTTAAATAAAATTATGAAACATTAATCTTCTCATTCAATAGTCTTGATCTTTGTTTCATAATAGTCTATAGACTAAAAAAAGATATTTCAAGCTGGGGTTCTCTGGGGTTATTGCTCAGTGATAAAGCACTTACCTAGTATGTACAAGGCCCTAGGTTTGATCCCCAGCACCACACACACACACACACACACACACACACACACACACACATATCAAGTGATCATTACTTGATGCTTACATCTTGTTTAAATATAAAAAACATTTTAATGTTTTTATTTTAATTAATAAATAGTCGTGTATATTAAACATTCATGAGGTACAATGTGATGTTTTCTTAACTCTTTATGTTGTGGAATAATTGGATTAAGCAATTAACAAATCTACCACCTCATATACTTGTCATTTTTGTAGTAAAAATATTTAAAAATCTACTTTTTTTAGCAATTTTGAAATATACAAAGGCTGGGCACAGTGGTATAAGCCTGTAATCCCAGAAATTTAGGGGGCTGAAGCAGGAGGATCTCAAGTTCAAACCCAGCCTTGGCAATTTATCCAGACCCTGAAAAGGGCTGGGTTGTGGCTCAGTGGTAAAGTGTCTCTGAGTTCAATTCCCAATACCAAAAAAAAAAAAAAAAAAAAAAAGAAAAAAAAAGAACATTATTATGTAGCATAGTTACTATTATGTTTAACAGAATATTAAAGCTCCTATCCAACTGAAATTCTGTACCCTATAATCAAGGTCTTCCCTTCTCCCACCCACCCCCTCACCTGGCCTCTGTAATCACCATCCTACTCTCTACTTTCATGAGTTCAATTATTTTAGATTCCAACATGAGACCATGCCATATTTGTCCTTCTGTGTCTGACTTATTTCATTTAGCATAATATCCTCCAGGTTCATCCATGTTGTCACATGACAGAATTTCCTCCTTTATAAAGGCTGAATGGTATTCCACTGTCTGTGTTTACATTTTCTTTAGGTTGCCCCCACATCTAGGTATTATGAACAGTACTGTAGTGAATGTGAGAGTGCAGACATTTCTTCAACATAACTGATTTCATTTCCTTTGGATATATACCCAATAGTGGAATTACCATACCGTAATTCTATTTTTAGTTTTCATATTTTTTCATAGTAACTATATTAATGAACATGCCCACTAACAGTGCACAGGGGGTATCTTTTCTCTACACCCTCAGCAGCCAATTATTATATTTCAACTTTTTAAATTATAGCCCTTCTAACAGGTGGGAGGGAATATCTCATTGTGGTTTTAATGTTCATCACCCCTGATGATTAGTAATGATAAGCATTTTTTCACATATCTATTGACTATCCCTATGTCTTCTTTTGAGAAATATCTGTATAGGTCTACCCATTTTTAAATTGGATTCTTGAAATCATATTCAAGAAATCTTGGCCTAGACCATTTTCTGGACCACTTCTACTATCTTTTCTAGTAGTTTTACAGTTTCAAGCCTTATATTTAAATATTTAATCCATTTTAGTTGATTTTTGTATACGATATAAGATAGGGTTTAATTTCATTCTCCTACATGTGCATATCCAGTTTTCCCAGCACCAGCTATGAAAGAGACTATCTTTTCTCCATTGTGTGTTTTTAACATCTTTATCAAAAATCAGTTGACCAACTTGCTCAGGTGTATTACTGGGCTCTCTTTCCTTTTCCATTGGTCAGTGTGTCTGTTTTTATGCTAATATCTTGGTATTTTGATTATTATAGCTTAATAATAGATTTTGAAGTCTGGCATAAACATGAAAATATTCTATATGTTTGCTTTGATTTTGATTGAGCCATTGAAATTTGCATTGCTTTTGCTAATTTATATTATGTTACTCATTTCACAGTAGAGTATACCACAACATACACATCTTTGTATTTCTTCTGTTAAATTACTCAGAACGAAATATGTAATACATACACATATATTAGTACATTTACATATATAAAACATGCAAGTATTCAAACACTGAAAAATGACGGCCAACATTACTAGGTATGTTCAAACAAAGTGACACCTCCAAGCAAGATTAATAAGGCTACATAGAATCACAGGTTGAAATTGGAAACATAGGTCCAAATGTCACATGTGAGGACTCATTTTGCTCCTAAAATTTCTTATTCTTGGATCATCACTTATAGGATTTATATTAAATACACTATGTATAGAAACTTATTCATATTCATTTTCACAGGGAAGACTCACATTATCAGAAGACGCACATTTAGAGCATGAGAACAGCCACCAGCAGGGGTGGCTGATTAGATTATAACTCTTTCCTCACACTTACTCCTGCCTCAGTCCCTGGAAATGTTTACCATCCATCACCCTTTCTCTGCCATCAGCATTTTCTATTCTTGTTTTCCATGAGGTCTATGGATTCCTTAGAGCCTGTTATGTCCTTATAATAATTATTAAACTTGAATTCTCAAAGGGGAATTAGAATAATTTTTACCATTTTCCCAATTTCCTTATTAATTTTTCTTGGGATTCAAGATTCAGGAAAAACAGTGTTTTCTGAGAAATGCTGGGAATTCCAGTTAAAACCGAGTCCATCAGAGGGAAGGAATGTATTGTTTTTGTGGCAGAAGTGTCTTCTGTTTTCTTATGCATGCCTGTAACACTGCATCCATGCAAAGGGTCTTTGTCAATTTCATAAAAATGTACACAGGCTATTTTATATGCCACCCTGAAATCACCTCAAAGCCTGGAAAAGTATCCTTTTGCAGCCTAACAGGCACATAAATACCTTTAAGTATGCAAAGCTTCTGGAAAATGCCTTTGGCTGATTTGACCAAAGATGTGTAAAAGCAGAAAAAAAACCATGAGGTGAGTTGAAATGGTTTTTTCCACAAGTACTTCTGGAATCCAGCTTTAGACAAGGCCTAGATAGAATCAATATTTGCTATTCGAAGTCAGAAATGAATACTAATCTACTTTTGTCAAGCCACTACCCTCCATTCAAGAACTTAAATACATTATGCGGGCCAGTTGTCATGTAAAATATTTTCATACATCACCTGACTTGAGAGAGAAATGGAAGTAGGCCAATACATATTTTTATCACCTACAATGTATCAGACAGCATGATACATATTTCAAATGTGTTTTCAATTCTACAGTACAGGTTTCATTCACTTAATCCCATGGTTTAAGAAAATTAAGGCTCAAAATCATAACTTTTCAACAGCCACCCTTCTTGTAAGTGAGACAGCTTAAAATTTAAACTCAATCCAGCTTTGAAAAACCACGCTCTTTCTATCCCCTCACACTGCAAATCATAAAATGGCTGCAAATCACAATCTTGTATGTGCCATGCCCCTACTCCTCAACCAGGAGAGAAAACTGGTACCAGGCAACCTGACTGCTCCCTAGGACTAATCTTGAAACCTCGGGGTAAATAAGACCTTCTCCTATGCACACTTAAATAACAACATGGGTAGTTTCTTATTTGAAAGAAACATAAAATAAACTTAGATGCAGACTATATATTTTGGTGACAGTATTTAAAATGAACTTTGTAAATATGGTACAAAAAAAAGTATTTCTTACCTTTAAATATTTCACCAGCTTCTGAATTTGCCAATATTCCGAAGGCAAATCTGCATTTGCTTCCTGACGATGATCAGGTTGTTCTTCATCTTCTTCACTTTCCGAAGAGCTCTCACTAATAGTTTCTTCAATCTTATCGACACTCTTACTAAGAACAACAAAAAATCCATGCATATAAGCCAGAACATAAACTTGGTTAGAATGATAACATTTTAGGAACATGCATATAAGTAATAGATGTACCAATACCTTCTGTGATTTCTTAGAAAAGAGAAAAGTTTCTCCATTTCACTCAAATTTGGAAAGGTCAACACCAGTGAATCGTGATGTTATGTTTATATAACAAACTACCTACAGTGATCATGCAAAAAAGCTATACAAAGAGATGCATCCAAAAATATTACAGGCAATCCTGTGTATGATTGTTCATAGAAACTTTATTTTTAATAGCTCAAAACTAAAAACAACAAAAATATCCTTCAGCAGGTAAATTATTTCAATTTCAGAGTCAACCTCTGCAACTTAGCAAGGCCATAAGCAACTTAGGGACCCTATCTCAAGATAAAAAAAGGCTGGGAATATAGCTTAGTGGTTATGCACCCTGGTTTAATCCCTAGTACCCCCCTCAAAAAAAAGCCTCTAATTATCATGCTAACTAGCCCAGTATGGGAGGGTGGCTTTAAAGAGCTGGTCATGCCATCAGAAACATACTGAAGCTGTACTTTTCCATGTGAAAGAGATGGTCTTTGCTTTTCAAGTTTTCCATGTTTTTCCTCTTGGCTGTCTTTTGCTGAACTTTTATGTCTGAAAAAAAGAGATCTTTATTACTTTATGCTAAAAAATAAGAAATAAAAGTTGCATGAATCATATAGAAATGATCCATCATTTTCACGCACCCAAATGATGGGTGTTCCTGAGACAGAGAATGATGATTTCCAACCTCACCTGACGTCCCTTTTGTTTTTCAAACAGAGCCACATATTTTATATACTGAAGAAACTTTCGGCCCAGTACTTCTTTGTACTCTAACAGATCTTCACACTAGGTTGCTATCATTGTATAAGTCCTCCAACCCTTGCCTTTTATAGGTACTTACTGCTCTCAATTAGAGTTGCCTGTGGCTTCTTATTTTTCTCCACCTAATGCTATAACAGAGCCTGCACCTGGTTTTCCAGGTATTCCCAAGTTTAGCACACTCCTTAACACAAACTCTGTTCTCACTAAATACTTAAGTAAATTCATAACTGAAAGAATAAGCATCTGATAAAAGTAGCATTGGAAAACTCACTTTCCAGTTAACAGAATTACCTATACATTTTTTCATTCTCAAACTTACTCTTTCAAGTAGAAACACAAATTCAAAAAAATTGATGAGAATCAGATGAGCAAATATGTCTCCTCTTTCCATAGGGCTTATCCTTCCCAATAGTTATGGATTTACTTCCAAAAAGAATCACCCTGTAGTTACCAGTCAGGGTACTGGTGTGACCAACCAGGAGCCAGTTCTTAATCATGTGACAACATAGAACATCAAATATAGACTAAAATTTGTAAGCTATTGGCTAAATCTAAAATGTGCTTGCTATAGTTTGGACCTTACATGTTCTCCAAAGTCTCATGTGTTTAAAAGATTGGTCCCTAAGGCATCCTATTGGAAGGTTGTAGAATCTTGAAGAGGTGGGGCCTACTGGGAGGTCTTTAGGTCACTGGGAACACATCCTCATAGTGGATTGTGAAAATTCAGTCACCTTCTCTTTCTCTCTTTTGCTTCCTGGCCTTGAAGTAAGTGGTTTTGTTCTACCACTTGCTCCCCACCAATGACATCTGACACCTCCACTTGAGGCCTAAAAGCTTTTGGTTTACTGATCATGGACTGAAACCTTTAAAATCAAGAGTCAAAACAAACTTTTCTCTTCATAAGTTATTATATCAGGCATTTTGTTATAGTGAGAGAAAGCTGACTGACACAAAGCTTTTGACTGTCTCAGCATTTAAGAAGCACTAGCTCTTTGGCACCTATTTATAAGAGGCCCCAAATGGAACTAATTTTATTTATTTCATTCATTCATCAATACAGTGTCAACTTTACATAGGCCTGTTAATATTTTTGAGACTCTAGTCTTTTTATAAGATGAGAATTGTTTATAGAAAAGACCTTAGTCATCCTGAAGGTTTCTCTACTTAACCCCATATTAGTTAATCATTTCGAAATTTCCTAACACATATGTAATCAGGGCCCTACCATTATGTTTATATCTTCTATGTTATTTCTCCACATATTTTTATCATCCTTTTCATGGTTATTTGTCCCAACTCACTATCTACATGAACATGGACTATGTTCTTCCCATCCATTCACAGTGCTCCAACCATGAACCCTGTAGCTATCAAATTTTTCCACTTGGAATAGAAAGAGGAGCAGAAAGGAATCAACTTGTATCATAGAAGGATGTAAAAGTATCTCTTTGTATTTTTGTACCAAGAAACAAAGTTCTGAAGAAACTAGATAAATAAGTGGTGACTAAAGAAGTATGAGAAAAACCCATCATACAAATGTCTACATACATTTTAAAATCAACTTTGGTTCTCCAATTTAAGCTTGGCTCCAATCTCTTGGCCATATGAGTCTTCACAAAACTGATTTCATTCTTCTTCGGTCTGTCTGAACTAGTGATAACTTTGCCAGAGACAGCTTCTTTTTCCTTGATCTGTTTTTCCTCAATAGGATTTTTTTGTTCTTCATTGAATGTAAATTCCTTTATAAAAATTTAAAAATAACTTTTACAATGTTATCACTTCTGAATTACCTAGCACCATCTGAAGATTAACCCTGGTGATAAATCCTAGAAAGGAATTTTCAGATGCACCTTCACAACCAAGGCCCCTATTGGAGCTAGGTAGACAGTGATGTGTTGTTTTTAAACTTGCACTTCTGCTGCAGCACATACAGATACAATAGCAGGATTGGACCAATATATTCCTCCCATCTCTAGAAAAAAATAAATTCAATCCCTATATGATTGGCATGTGTCATGTGTGAATTGCTTAAACCAAGGGTGAAGAGAGTATTTTTATTTTTATTTATTTATTTTTTCAGTACTGGGAATTGAACCCAAGGGGTGCTCTACCACTGAGCTACATTTAAAGCCCTCTTTATTTTTTAATTGGAGTTGAGGTTGGCCTTGAACTTGAGATCCTTTTGCCTCAGCTTCTGGAGTAGCTGAAACTAGAGTCACCACCATGCCCAGCTCAAAGGAGGCATCATACAGAAGAAAAGGCATAAGAATTTTAAGAGAATTCTCATGAGAAATGATGAAAGTCAAAAGACAGTGATATCCTCAAAGTACTAGAAATAAAAGAAAAACAACAACAACAACAAAAAACTGTCAACCCTAAAGATTCTACTTTGAGTCAAAAAGATTTTTTTTTGAAAAATGAAATCACAGAAAAACAAAAACAGAAAATTCTGAAGACTTGTGCTACAAGTCTACACATTTCTTTGTAGAGATCCATGTTTTCATCAAACCAGACAGAAACAAAGAAATGAAAAGTTTCAGAAACAGTAAAAAGACATACAAAAGGCTTGTGTGTAATTTTTAATCATTACTAATTGACTATTCAAGTCAAAATAACAATGTTTTGAGAGGTTTATAGCACATAAAAAATGTACAACAATAACATAGAGGATGGGGAGAAGCTTTCAAGGAACACTACTCTAAGTTTCTTAAACTATTTGAAATCATATAATATTACTTAAAAACAAACATGAAGGGGCTGGGGTTGTGGCTCAATGGAAGAGCACTCGCCTCCCACATGTGAGGCCCTGGGTTCGATCCTCAGCACCACATAAAAATAAATAAACAAAATAAAGGTATTGTGTCCAACTAACAAAAAAAATACTTAAAAAAACAAACAAACATGAAAATTAAAGATATATATTTTACAGACCCTAGGGCAGCTATTTAGAAACTTTCAAAAAGAAATATAACTGATAAGTGAATAGCACAAAGAAATGGAGTCATTTTCTGAAGCTAAACTAATTGAAAAGAGGCAGAAAAAAAGGAAAAAGAACAAGAACAGATGGGACAAAGAAAACAATTAACAAAAAAGTAAATTTATATTCAACTGTGTCAGCAGTTATATCAACTTAATCTGATTTGAAAACCTCAATGAAAAGAGAAATCATCCAATTGAACAAAAAGCAAAACTCAACTATTTGTGTTCTGAATGAACTATATATAAAGGTATAAAATCATTAAACAAAAGGCTAGTGAAAATAGTTCCTGCAAACAGTAATCAAAAGGCAGACAGGACATATTGCTGGAGGAGGATGGCAGAAGTGAACCAGGCAGTGAGTGCCAATCTCTTCACATTACTGAGAGGAAGAAGCAAATAAAAGCAGAATTGGGAGGTGGGTAACTACATTAATGCTCTAAGGCCTTATACTACACAGTCTGAGACCTGGAAAGACTGGAAGATAGATTACCAGGGCAGAAATCAAACTCAAGAGTACCCTAACCCAAACCTGTGGATTGGGGGCAGGGCATCAGAAAGAGAAAGCAAGAGGGGGTCATGGACATTCTCTTAAGCTTACCCACTTAAAAAAGACAAACTTTAAAGTGCAGACATCTCCTAACAGTATAAACTACTTAAAACCAGATCTTGAAAAGAAAGCCGAACAGGGCTCCTAACCATCTTGTGGAGTCCACAGCGGACCAGTCAGTCAGTCAGTCACCCTCTTAAATCAACATGGTGTCTCCCCACACCTAGATGGCCCAAATTAAACCAGAGGGGAACCCCTGCAGTGGACTCTCAAAAGAATCCGGCCAGAAAGAACTTCTGGAAGGCCCACTGCTAACATAAATCTCAGAAACTCTTCTTCTACCTTCTCCTTCTCCACAAATAAGGAAAACAGAGTGGGCTGGAGGGGACCTGGGCCAAGGGAAGTGCAGGTCCAGCCCCATACAGACTCAATGACCCAGGCATGGGGGTCTGGAAACCTCTGTATAGGCTCCCTTCACTCATGCCACAATGAAGCAGCTCTGGCTGAACAAAGGCAAGTTGATTCACCAGTCACCACTAGCACTGGGGTGAGGCCCCATAGGAAGCCTAGGGACAGTCCCCAGGATCAAACCACCATACCAGAAGGAAGCTGTCTGAAAAATCCAGGGACATACAGACCCAGTAGGAAATTGCCAGAGGCTCTGCAGCCGAAAGGGCTGGATACCAGCCTTAATGGGGAACAGGGCATTGTTTGGATACTTGCAGGACCTTGCACCAGACTAATAAAGCTGAGGGAACCAATGCAGTGGAAACTAGAGTCCAGATGAATTGCCAGAGACCCATCACTACACACCTCAGAGAGCAGAAGCAGCAGGGAAAATACTACTATACCATAGAACACCTGTGGAAAACCCTCAACCAGTGTGTCAGTTCACACAGACAGCTTCCAGGATCTTCAGTACCGAGAAAAGAATTCAGCAGACGGGAACAGGTACACAAGTGACCCATCCCAGTGGCCCACAGCAAACATAGGGACGCATCAGAGCTGGCATCCTGAGCTTCTGCAGCATTAGAATCAGGCAACTCACAACACTGCTCCCTCTAATATCAATTTGATCATATAAATAATTCCTTGGCTTGAATGATAATTGTTAATCCGATAGCCAATATACCTCCAAACCATTTGGATATATTTCATCTAATTGTTTAAAGCATTAACTGGAATCAAGCTTCCTATCTTTGTTTTCCTAGCTCTGGTTTATACTTGTTTCTCATACCACCTACTAATCCTCTTGCACTATCCACTACTACCTCAAATAACACCATTTCATAAATTAAGCTTTTATAGCCTCTCTCCCTCTCACTCTCTCATTCACTCTATTTTTCTATTCTTCTTTATCCCTCCAACATTTGCACAAGTTTTCTTCCTCCTTTTAGCTTGCTTAAGGTTATAGTTAATTCATTAAATTAAACCTCTAATTTTTTGGCCTGTTCATAAAATTTATTATAGGTTTATATCTGAGTTTGAGGAACCACAGAGAACAATTACAACCAATTTTGTTTTTAAAAGTTTCAGAAGTATGAGACTTGACTCAGAAATGATTATAGTAAATAGGGCTCAGTGGTATCTCTTAAAGTGGAGCTAATATTGGGATCAGCAGAGGTCACACATTAAATTAAAATATCATAATCTAGATATCCACCCAACTGAGGGCCCTTAAGAGCTCATATTGTATTTTTTCACTTAAAAGAAGAAGTTACAACTATTACTGATAGACGTACAAACAATATGAAAAAGCAAGGGAATCATCCCAAACAACCCATAATACTTCAACAACAGACTTCACTGACATCACAGTAGAGGAAATCTCATAGATGGAATTTAGAAAATTCATAGTTAAACTATTGTATGAGCTAAAAGACAATGGAAGGAGTAAATTCAGAGAGAAAATACAGGAAGTGAAAGAACACTTAAGAGAGATTCTGAAAATAATCGAACAGAAATACTTGAAATGAAGGAATCAATAATTTAAAGTGAAAATTCAATGGAAAGCATCACCAATAGATTAAACTACTTTGAGAACAGATTTTCATGCTTTGAATACAAAGTATACAATCTTGAAAATAAAGTCAACCATAGTGATAAGATGTTAAGAGACAACAAACAGAATATTCAAGAAATTTGGGATAATATTAAAAGTCAAATTTAAGATTCATTAGGATAGATGAAACACAAACTAAAGGAATGCACCATATTTTCAATGAAATAATATCAATATCCAAACCTTAAAAACAAAATGGAAATTCAAATACAGGTGGCATATAGGACTCCAAATATATAAAATGATAACAGATCCACCCAAGACACATTATTATAAAAATGCCAAACATACAGAATAAGGATAAATTTTATAATCTGCAAGAGAAGTAAACCAATTCAGATTTCAGCTAATTTTTCAACCCAGACCCTAAAAGTGAGCAGGGCTTAAAATAATATATACCAAGCTCTGAAAGATAATGAATGCCTACCAAGAATACTATACACAGCAAAATCCAGCTTCTAAATTGAAAGTGAAATAAAAAGCTTTCCAGATAAACAAAAGCTAAAGGAATTTATAACTAGAAAGCCTTCACTACAACAAAACATACTCAATAAAATATTTCATGAAGAAGAAATGAAATGTAAAACTGAAAACTAGCACAGGGAAGATTACACTAGAAGAATAGTCAATCAGAGGAGAATCAAATCCAGTTTAAACACTGGAAATATATAAATCATAATTGGAGGAAATAAATTCATCTCTCAGTAATAACATTGAATGTAAATGGTCTAAACTCTTCAATTAAAAGACATAGATTGCAGACTGGATTAAAAAACAAGACCCAATTAGCTGTCTGAAAAAGACTCACCCCACAGACAAAGAAAACCACACACTGAAGGTGAAAGGGATAGGAAAAAACATACCATCCATATGGACCTCATAAATAAGCAGGGGTTACCATTCTCTTATCAGATAGAGTAGATTTTAAGCCAAAATTAATCAGAAACAAAAAAGCATTTCATACTGCTTAACAGAATCATACGTCAACAAGACATGACAATCATAAATATTTATGCCCCAAACAATGGAGCATCTATGTACATCTATCTTCTCCAAACACTTTATAATCAGGTCCAGCTTCCAAGTGGTCCAACCCACAGACATAGGGCTTTTTTCTGTCTGGCTTTGGAGAAATTGAGAAATTCAGACCCTATGAAAAATATCTGACATAACATAGAAACAAAAACTAACAAAAAGAGACTTGAAAGAAAGTGAAACAATGCTGCAAACAATGTATAATTGTTAATTTTGGGTGTCAATGGTTAATTTAGGTGTCAGTGGTCAATTTTAGGTGTCAACATGGCTAAGGTAATTGTTTTGGTCAAATATGTTTAAATATTGCTATATAAGTCTTTTTCAGACATGGTAAGCATTTAAATAAGTAAACTTTGAATAAAATAGAGTACCTTCAATAATGTAAGTGGGTCTCATTCAATAAAGTAAAGACCTTTATGGGAAAGACTGAAATTTTCTCCCCAAGACTACATAAAAACCCTGCCTGATTTCCAACCTGCTACTTTAAGGACTTATGACTCCAGACTCAAATGTCAACTTTACCTTAGTTTCTAGCCTGCTAGATTGCCTTACATATTTCAGACTTACTGGCACCCACAACTGCATAAGCCAATATCTTTTTAAAATACCTCTCCTTTCCTCTCTCTATCATTTTCTCTCTTTCCTTCCCTCTCCTTCTCTCCCACACTTCTCCATTGAATCTGTTTCTCTGTAGAACCATAACTAATACAAAAAACAAGCTTTAAAAAAAGCTGTCAGCAATATACTGGGAGAAGATAGAAAATTCATGAAACAAGTGCCAAATTCTATAAAAATTAAAATTAAAAAAACCAAACAATAAAAACAAGAGAGTTTAAAATCTGAAAACATGTACAATGTTTGGAAAATCAAGTAAAAAAAAATGTTTTCAGAAAGTTCGGCTGAGGTAGGGTGGGATGAGAAAAAAGAAAATCAGAGGATCAGAAAAGTCCGAGGCCCAATATCCAACTAACAAGAGTTCCAAAAAGAGATTAGAGACAAAAAATTAAAGATATAATGTGGAAAATATTTTTTTCAGTTCTATAGGACATGTAACTATTTATGAAAAAAAAAAAAGAACTACCAAAAGCTGTACCATGAAGGTTAGAGAATGTCAGGGAAGATTTTAAGGCTTCTGAAGAGGAGAAAAGACAAAATAAGTAGATTGAATAGGGGAAAAGCCTTAAAATGCTTTAAAAAAAGATTTTCAACCATTATTCCAGAAACAACAACTGAAAAAGAATAAGAAGGATAGTTTCAAATGTGCTATCAATTTATTTTCATTTGTTTATGAGCTTCTTTCTCCCAGGAAGCTCACTAAATGTTGCGGTGCACCAAGAAAAGGAAAATTGAGCAGAAGACAAATTTCTCAGCAAGATGAAGGGCATGTATGAAAAACCCATAGCTAACATCCTACTCAATGGTGGAAGCCTAAAAGCATTTCCCCTAAGAAGCACATTCTTGTGCACATGTGCTGAACACTCATCGGGAGTGTCCTTAATCCAAGTAGTCCTTAATAAGTCCTTAATCCAAGTAGATGTGATCAGGGGATGACCACAAAGGATATATAGTCAGAGCTTCTAGGAGCCATCACCAGGGCTAAGTCTTTTGTTCTTAGTGTCATTCATTCAAAAGGAAAGAGGACAAAACCCTATTTAGAAAGCAATTTGTAATATTATGCTTATTGCCTAAAGAAAATCAGAAACACTTTTTTTAAAAAAACTTTTATTTATTTTTATGTGGTGCTGAGGATCAAACCTAGTGCCTTACATGTGCTAGGTGAATGCACTACCACTGAGCCACAACCTCAGCCCCATCAGAAACACTTTTAAAGTATTCTTTTTATAAAAGTTATGTTATGTTGTGAAAATACTCTAATGAAAAACAATGTCCAAAAATAGGCAATATTATTCTCCCAATTTTTTATACCATAGAAAGCTCTAGCAAAATAATATAAAGTTGTAAAAGTTCAAGAGACTATAAAACTTACCTGTTTTGACATATTTTCTGAAAATATTGCTGACTTTTCTTTTAAAAGTGTGACAAGGTCTTTATAAACTTCACTTTTTCTTTCATAATCAATGTCCCCCTCATCATCTGTTTTGCCCTTTGAGAGAAAAAATTTGGTGCTGTGATTAAGGCAATAGGAATAAAGAACCTGATCAGTACAACACAACTGAGCCTAGAGACAGATTTGTTCTTCCCCCCCCCCCCCCCTTCTGTCTGTCTCTCTCTATCTCTCATCCATTCATCCATGTGGGAGTTCTATTTTTTTTTTTTAAGATAGAATTTCACTGTGTTCCTCAGGCTGGTCTTGAGCTCTTGAGCTCAAGTGATCCTCCTGCTTTAGCCTTCCAAGTAGCTGAGAGGACAGGTGTGCACTGCCACGCCTAGTCATGTGACAGTCACTGTACATGAAACGTACAGACTAAACCCTTCTCCCTGAACGTAATATGATCCTTTCATCCATTCACTATCCATTCAGCATCTACTCAGTACCTTCCAAATGCAGGTAGAGAACTCTGCTATTCAGCAGAGAAGTAAGAACTCTAATCCTTATAATTCTCTACTGTGAAAAATGTACTGTGACATCAAAAACCTTAGCTGATGAAGTCATAAAAAGCCTCAAAGGTAGAATGTCACTACAGAAAAGGCTGTGTTTCTGTTTATCATATTCTATTCTTGCTCTTCATGTAACAGGGCTCCATGGGTTCATTTTCCAGGGTAACCATCTCTGTGGAACCATCTGTCTGTCCATTCCTCTGCTGCTGTTCCTCTTCCTTCTTATCTCTTTTTTTCCCCATTTACTTTTTCTTTCCTATTATTCTGCCATAACAGATTATGTACATACATACTCAAAACTGCTGTCTGTTTTTAATCTTTTTAAACTATTGAATATTCTTATCATCCTTTTCAATTTTTAAACCTGAGAGGAATACTTAGATTTTTCCATATCAAATAAAATTGTATGTATGTAGATCAACAGCCTTTGATGGAAACAAAAATGCCGTGATTCCCCTCTAGGTCAAAGAAAATCATTCTTTTGCCTATTATTTTCTAATTAGACATTTTGTTTTTCCTAACTATCAAACCAAAAAAGCAAAATTGGGGTCTACCTTCTCTGTGCAGAAATACATGAAGTGTATGCTAAAAAGAAAAGCACCTAATAATAAAGGTGCACCTGAAGAGAGAGATACCTGCAATAACCATGGAAGCAGCACCAGCATTTTGGTATGAACCCAAGCCAAGATGTAACAGCTCCCAAGCTGTCCCCTATAACAGCTGGTCCTCATTGAGGATCTGGGTCCTCCTTGTGGAATTTTGCTTGTAAGTCCAAAATTTGCATTGATGATATTGAGGATGGCATGTTGCAGAGAAGAAAGCTAAGCTCCTTCTGGGGCAGAATTTAAAAAGTCTGATTTCCTCAACATGTTCTCCACCTTTAATATAAAGCTGATTTTTACATAATGTTTCCCAAGACAGCCTTATCTAAGCCACCAGCTTCCTTCAAAGCTTGAAAAGCATCTTTCCTGCAGCCTCCACTGGCTCAGGAGACCGGGTCTTGATCACTATATGATCTTCCTGGAGGGCAACAAGGAGCCCTCGGCCATCTTTCTTCCAGGGGAGCACAGAGGGACCCAGTGCACCTAACCACATTACCATGCAGAGTGCAGATCTCTATGCTGAGCACAGAGCATGTGGGACATGTACAGAAATCCTGGACCTGGTGCCACAACCACTGTTGCACCTGCACAGTCAGCAGTCACACTGTAAGAATTTTATCTGCCATCTCTTCAGAAAGTCAGTGCTGGAACCCCATCTCCTGTGTTGTCTCCCTTGGGCTTGAGCATAAGCCCCAATAACATCTCCTTTACTTGGTGAGGATTGCTATCTCAAATTGAGCAAAAGAACCCTAGATTGATTGACAACACTTATAGTTATTTCGGTGAATTGGGATGAGACCCAAAATAAAGTGTTCTAATACCGAAGATTCAAAAAGCTATGTGCTGCTTAGCTCAGAGGCCACACACCCAGACTCTGCTTTGTGATACTTGGACTGGGACTTTGCAAAGCTATACTTCTTCTTTGCCAGGTTAGGTTAGATTCAGGAGACAGGAAACTCAAGACTGAAAGCTGCAAGAAGAAGGAGGAAGATGCAACTTCCTGTTTGTGACCACTGTCCCTGATGGAGTCATTCCGGGAATGGCTCTTTACTCTTGGCATTGGCGACTGCTTTTAGAAGCAACTGTTGGTACCAATTTCCAGTTGTTGTTCCCACAGTCCCACAACCAGACTCTTCACACCCCCTCAGAAATATCACCATCAGCTGACCAGGACTTCATCTTCAATGTCCTGTTCCACCTCCAGATTCTCCTCAGAGCTCATCAGGTACCAGCACTAACTGAGAGGACCAAATCCCCAAAGGTCTGTGATCCGGTTTCATGGAGATTGTCTGGGCTCAGAGAGAATGAGCACAGCCTAGAAGTGGCCCTCTCTCCAGAGGTCCAGGTTCCCAGTGTTACGGGACACTTCCTCTAAGCTTTTACATTTGGATAATGCTCTCTGCTTCTCTTTGTCCCTTCAGCTCTTAGGATGGAAGCTGAAGTTACTACTTATATATTATCTCAGTGTCCTCATTTGCCCTTTCTTACCTTCAGTGACCATGTAACTAATCCATGTACATATTATATTAAGGAGATTTTAGTTTTATGAAGTGAAATGGGTCACTTCGAAGTCTGTTTCTTAGAAGGTTGACTTATATGACCTGAAATGATGAACAATGAAGCTGATTCTGGGACTATTCTGAATTTGCCCAGCAGAAGAAGAGCAAAGGAATTTGCTTCATTTCCATGGAACAGAATTCTATTCTCTGTGGTCATCAGAACTGAACGCAAGACATAAACCAGCATTTATGAAGACTTGTGAAGAACTTAAGTCAACTGGCTTTAATTATGTTTTTAAGAAATTACTTACACCATTTAAAAACACTCCTTCTGTGCTGCAAGTAATGCACAAAGCTTCGACATCGTGGGGTTTTACCAGCACATAACACATCTCCCCATGAATCTGTCGCCAAGGGGGGGCTCGACATCCATTTGAAAATTCATAATCTGAAAACAATCATCAAGTCACTAAGAGAAGCTCCACTTCAAGTTTTATAAAATGTGTTGGCATCAACAAGATACTGTAAAAGTTTTAAGTTTTCATTTTCTTAAATACATGATTCTGATGTAGCCAAGGAAAGCATTTTGGCAATGTAACTATGAAAAAGTAAATAAGTAAAATGCATCTGATACAAAACCTGAGGTATATTTAATAAATTCCAAGACTGTTTTTTCTCCTTTTCCTGAGAAACGTTGGAGCAGCTCTATATCTTTCTTAACAGTCACTGGATTTAGACTTATTTGCCTGCAATAAATGTTTAAAAAATTAGCTTAAGCACTTTAAAACAGAATCTACAGGAAATACATGAACACATTCCATTATATAAAAAGGAATCTCTCTTTTTTTGTAATTAAAATTTTAGTTAAACTTAGTCACATTTTAATCTTGTAACAACATTATCAAAACATCAATGAATTAGTGATTCGTGTTGGATGTAACACTAATTATATGCAAATATTCAAATATTCATTTCATTTTTAATAATGCCATACAACTAGAAAATACTATAAATATGAATACATTTGGAACTATACAAACTCTGTATGGTATTTGTGCTATAATCTAAGACTTTGTCATTGTCTTAAGAGTCTTTGAAAATAAATAATTTCCATACTTTTTTTGGGCATTTTTCCTTTAAAACTTTGAAAGCAACTTTTGCAACTAAGTTTTAGAGATTTCTCTGATAAAAGACTCACAGTGAAATATATTTTAGGGTATGATTGAGAAGGTGCAGATCTAGTTCCTTAAGCAATATGGCAATCTTCATCTTAATCTCATTTTCATAATCATCTTCTGCTTTAATTTTATTAAGGATATTTAAGGCAATGGAGTCTTCTTTCATTTCCCCAAATTCGGAGCCCAAGATTTTTACTACTGGGTCTCTGTTACCTGACAAAAAAGAAAGGTAAATAAAAATAATCCTCTTGTCTTCCAGTACAAATACACAAAGACTAACAAATCCATCAAACCCCTCTGAAATGTCTTTCATTAAGCTTCCTCTGATTGACCCAAATAGAATTCATCTCTATTATACTTAGGAACTTAGACCTCTTGATGTTTTGCTTGTATTATAGTATCATCTATGTACATTATTTTTCTAACAGAACAAAGACCAAGATGAACTGGCTTCCTCCCCTGCCTCTGATCCCCTCCTTACTGAAGATGAAGCATTGTTCAGAATAGGCATTCAATTCATTTATTCAGAATACAAATATTAATCCCTTTAAAAGAATCACTTATAGAGCTGTGTCTGTGTGTTGGTGCTCAAGGTTCATAAATGTTTTTTTTTTTTTTTTTTATAAACATCATGATCCCTTCAGTCTACAGATCCACTGTCATTCTTTTCCACTTGTTCTAAATGTTTGTATTCTCAATGTCCTTTGATGTTAGAGTTAGAAAAATAAATATAGCCATTTACATCTGTACCAATATTATGTACAAAAATTTAAATACAAACTCATGAACAGGGCTGACATAGATGTGCAATTTGAACCTAAAGATGCTGAAAACAGAATTTGGTAAATATCAAAAACAATGTGGTGTGGCTGGCATTATGGCTCAGCGGTAGAGCACTTGCCTAGCGCATGCGAGGCACTGAATTCATTACTCAGCACCACATAAAGATAAATAAAATAAAGCTATTGTGTACAACTACACCTAAAAAAAATTAAAAATCCAATGTGGTTGAAATGAGGGAGAAAGGGTGAAAAACTTGTTTGGAATGAAGCACTTCAAAAAAGATGAAAATTCATATTTATTGGGACAAGTTAGAGGGTGATGCCAATTGGACTAGTTAAGGAAGTTTGACTTGATTGAAATGATGGTCTTAACCTTCTAACAGGAAATGGCTATGCCACCAAGAAATTGTATTGAAGGTGTAATGCTGAGGAAAGGACTGCATGGGTGGGGAGAAGAGAAGCCTTGAGAAGGAGACCAAGGAATCAGCCATTGCCCAGCAGTCTGACTCATCAACCTGTTATGTCATAAAGATTTGTGAAACCATCCCATTCACAATAGCCTCAAAAAAAAAAAAAAAAAAACCATGGGAATCAATCTAAAAAATGATGTGGAGGATCTCTATAATGAAAACTATTGAACACTAAATAAAGAAATTCAAGAAGACCTTAGAAGATGGAAGGACCTCCCATGTTCTTAAATAGGCAGAATTCACATTGTTAAAATGGCCATGCTAAAAAAAAAAAAAGTACTACAGAGATTCAATGCAATTGCCATCAAAATTCCAATGACATTCTTCACAGAACTAGAAAAAGAAGTCACAAAATTCATTTGGAAAAATAAGAGACGCAGAATAACCAAAGCAATCCTCGGTGAGAAAAGTGAAGAGGAAGCATCACAATACCAGACCTTAAATTATACTTCAGAGCTATAATAACAAAAATAACACGATATTGGCACAAAAAAAAAAAAACAGGCCTAAAGACCAATGGTACAGAATAGAAGACACAAACTCACATAAATATGGTTCCCCATACTAGGCAAAGGCACTAAAAACACATATTGGGGAAAAGACAGCCTCTTCAACAAATGGTGCTGGGAAAACTGGAAATCCATATGTAATAGAATGAAATTCATCCCATCTCTCACTCTACACACAACTCAGTTCAAAATGGATCAAAGACCTAAGAATTAGACCAGAAACCCTGCACCTGCTAGAAGAAAATGTAGGCCCAACACTCCCACATATCAGGTCAGGAACTCACTTCCTTAATAAGATTTTTAAAACACAAGAAGTAAATAAAAAATCTCTAAATTGGATGACATTGTTTTTAAAAAGCTTCTTTATAGCAAAGAAAATAAGAGCATGAAGAATGGGAAAGCCTACCAAATGGGAGGAAATTTTTGCCCGCTGCACCTCAGACAGAGTATTAATCTCCAGGATATATAAAGAACTGAAAACACTTAACACCAAAAAGGCAAATAACCCAATCAATAAATGGGCAAAGGAACTGAACACATGCTTTACAGAAGAAGAAATATGATCATTGAGAAAATATATGAAAAAGTGTTCAACATCTCTAGCAATTAGAGGAACACAAATTAAAACTATACTGAGGTTTCATCCTACTCTTGTCACAAAGGCGATTATCAAGAATACAAGTAACAATAAATGTTGGCAAAGATGTGGGGGAAAACGTACATTGCTGGTGTGGCTGAAAATTGGTGCAAGAACTCTGAAAAGCAGTATGGAGATTCCTCAGGAAACTTGGAATGGAACCACAATTTGACCCAATTACCCCACTCCTCAGTATATACCCAAAGGACATAAAATCAGCACACTATAGTGACTCGGACACATCAATGTTTACAGCAGCTAAATTCACAATAGCTAAGCTATGGAGTCAGTCTAGGTGCCCTTCAACAGATGAATGGATGAAAAAATAATGTATATATACAATAAAATATTACTCAGCTCTAAGGAATGAAATTATGGCATTTGCTGGTAAATGAATGGAACTGGAGACTATCATGCTAAGTGAAATAAACCAATCCCCAAAAAAGCCAAAAGCCAAATGTTCTAATATGTGGATGCTAACACAATAAGGGTGAGGGAGGGAAGAATAGAAGTACTTTGGATTAGATAAAGGGGAATGATGGGAAGGGAGGGGGAATAGGAATATGAAAGACAGTAGAATAAATTGGACATTACTTTCCTATGTTCATATATGAACACACTGTCAGTGTAACTCCACATCGTTTACAACCATAAGAATAGGAAGTTATACTCCATGTATGTACAATATGTCAAAATATAACTAACTCTCATATATAACTAAAAAGAACAAATAAAAAAATTTAAAAAGAATGACTTTATAATTTGCCAGTAAATGGATGGATATGGAAACTATCATATTAAGTGAAATAAGCCAATCCCCAAAAGCCAAGGTTGAATGTCTTCTCTGATATGTGGAAGCTAATCTACAGTAAGGGGAAGAGTGAGAAAGAATAGAAGTTCAGTAGATTATACAAAGGGGAAGGAGAGAAAAGAAGGGGGGATAGGAAAGGGAAAGACAGTGGAATGAATCTGACCTAATTTTTCCTATGTGCATACATGAATACACCACAGTAAGTCTTACCCTCGTGTACATCCATAAGAATGGGGTCCTAATTAAGATATATCCCCTGCTTGTATAATTATGTTGAACTAGATTGTACCGTTATGTATAACTAAAAAGAACCAATAAAATGTTTTTAAAAAACATTAAAAAATTCATACTAGGTGAATTCTAAGGGAAGACATAAACCTGACTACCAAATTGCCATGTACTATGCATTTGAGACCTGAAATTAAGGGTTTCACCTAAACTGAAATGGACAAAATGTAGGAAAGAATATTTGGCCAAACCAGATATATATAGCATTCCATGTATTTTGTCTCACCTGTCAACTACCATTGGAATTCAGCTTTACATTCAAGATTTCATCCCTGTTAGGAAAGCAGCTTCGATGTGCACAGAGCCCCCAAATGAAGAGTAGGCGTGAGATAAAAGATGCTGCTATCGTGAGACTGACACCTTTTTTGTCTGTCTGTTTGTTTAAGGACTTTCTGCCCACCTCCCACAGAAATAGGCAGAACTCAAGGACCTTGTGTTGGGATCCACTGGTCACATCATTCCCAAAAAGCATAACACAGACAACACATCATCACCTATGATTAGGCATTTCTACTGAAAAGAAACATTTATAACACAATTATAGCAGGAAACCAATCACATTTTTTTGCATGTTAGATGGTTGGATGATAATGAACTCATTGTATATCTTTAATGAAGAAGAAAAATATTTCCTGTCGAGGTGAATGAATATAACTACTCACAGAAGGCTGTGAGGTGCAACATGGAATGAGACTCAGAAAAGGAAATGTGATGTATTAAGGGCCATCTCTGCCAAAGGAAGAGCCCACATTCATTTAAAGGGAGCAAGTGAGCATCCATCATAGCAGCATGTCAAGGGAGAGAGTGGATTCAGAAGTTGGTCCTGGAAGTCTGTCTTCTCTTCCAATGTGACTTATAGGCTACAGGCCACTTGTCTTTCCAGTTTAAATCACATGGAAAAATGAGAGACCTACAAGCCTACTAATGGTAAAGGATCAGGCCTTTTATTTTAAAGCCGAAATTTGATATGAGCATAGCAGTTTAGCTAAGGAAAAATTAATGGCGTTCTCATAAAGGGGCACACATAACTTTTCACCTTTAAAAAAAAAAATTTTTAGTTGTAGATGGACACGATATATTTATTTTATTTATTTATTTTTATGTGGTGCTGAGGATTGAATTCAGTACCTCACACACGCTAAGCAAGTGCTCTGCCACTGAGCTACAACCTCAGCTTGACTTTTCACCTTTTAAATGGTAGATCTTTTTAAAGAGACCTTAGTAAATGACACCCCTCAACACACACACACACACACACACACACACACACACACAAGATTATGCTTCTAAAAGTTCAAATCCCAGACGGGGGCATAAATATCACCTTCAATACACGCTTGTGCCTCCTTCAGCTTTGTGTCTTTGGCAATGAATAACAGGTATGCCAGTTGCCCGAAGCTCCTGACTTTAATTTTTGGTACAGAGAGAAACAGCAAAGGCTGTCCATTCTTATCCACTTCTTCGGACTCAACTGTTGTATCACTAAAGATGGAAAGGAAAAAAAATGAAAGCTTCATGTTACCTGGATGTCAGTAGAAGTTAAATTTAAGACATTTAGACAGATTATTATTATGTCTCATTATAATACACATGAAATATAAGTACCTCTGTTTGGAAACAAATCTATTTTCCTTCTTTGCATACCCACTCAGACACTTAAATCCCCAGACTTACCAGCAATCATAGTGAGCAACAGGACACATCCAGAAAACTAAACATAAGACAATTTCCAGAATTCACAACTGAACTAAACTAATCACAGTTTCATTTTTGTTTCTCTGACAGTATGCTGGTTTCTGACATCTTTTTTAAAAAGCACTGGTTCTACTGAACCATTTATGCTTGAGGATTTCTAATGTTATCTTATTTATGAATTGTTTACACCACAGTGATTAGTGGTTAGGAATTTTCTTCTCTACACTGTATTTATGAAGAAAAAAAGCTATGACAAAAAGGCAAATTATATCCTCTTTGTGGATTATCTTTCCATGCTAAACTCACTCATTTGGTTCACCTGAGGATAATGGGCTAAATGGGCTTTTCCTGATCATACATTATTGGGTCTCCTGGATTTCTTTCTGTCAATTTTAATTTTCTTTTCATTTTAAATTTTTAGGTTGGCATTTAAAAATTATTAAGGCATTTTTCTGGAAATGAAATTTCTTCAGATTTCTACCACTTATAACATTGATCAAATTGTCTAGCTTTTTAAAATTATACATTGATATCCGTGATTAAACTGCCCACATGTTAAGACTTGATCTAACATAATCAAGTTGCAGATAAGTAGATGTGAAATGTGCCTAGTTCACCAGGAAGAATGAATCTGACAGACCCATGTTACTTGCCACTGACACTGTTAGTTTTTTTTTTTTTTTGTTACTGGAAAATACTGCAGATACTAAACTTAAAAAGAAGAAAGGCTCATTTTGCCTTAGAGTTTCAGAGGTTCCAGTTTGTGACTATTTGGCCATGTTGCTTTGGGCCAGTGACAAGCCAACATACATGGCAGGGACAGAATGGTGCTGCATCTGCTCATCTTATGGAGACTGGAAGCAAAGAGAAAGGAGGAAGAGGGACAAGAGAAACATATCCCCTTCCAGGACATGCCCCTAACCACCTCGCTTCCTTCCACCAGGCTCCATCTCTTAAAAGTTCTACCACGTTGGGGCTGGGGGTGTGGCTCAGCGGTAGAATGCTTGCCTAGCACGCGCGAAGCACTGGGTTCAATCCTCAGCACCGCATTAAATAAATACATAGATAAATAAATAAATGGTACTACAGATGTATTTAAAAAAAAAAAAAAGTTCTACCACTTCTTACAGGTTCCTAAAACACCAAGCTGAGGACTAAGACACATGGCCCTTTGGGAGACACTTATCCAGACCATCTCACTATCTCACTAGGATAGAAACAAGCACTTAGGGACTGTGGGAGGCAGAATGATACCCCCTCAAAATGCCCCACATCCTAATTCCCCAAACCTGTGGATTCGTTCCCTTACATAGAAAAAGGGACTTTGCAGATGGATCGAGTTAAGGTTCTTGAGATGAGAAGACAATTCTGGATGATCTGAGATAGATGTGATCCCAAGTGTCCTTATAAAAGGAGAACAGGAGGGTCAGAGTCAGAGGTGAAATGACAATGGAAACGGAGGTCAGAGTGATGCAGAACCAAAAGAAACTGGGGAAGGAAAGGACAAATTCTTCTTGATCTTCTAGAAGGAACACAGCTCGGCCAACACATTGATTTTAGCTCTGCGAATTCATTTTAGTCTTCTGGGCTGAAGAACGACAAGATAGTAAGCTATTAAATGTGTGGTGATTTGTTACGTCAGCAGTAGGAAGCTAATACAGAGACTGTCCGTCTGGCACTATCTGTGACAGATAAGATTCTGCTCTATCCCCAGTACCTCAAATAATAACCACACACAGAGATGCTCAATTACTATCTGTGGAATAAATGAAATGCTTCTTGAGTTACTAATGATAGGTTGTATGTATATTTTCAACAAAATTCAGCTTCTGGAATAAAGGCTTTTTAGGATTGAGATTTCTTGGAGCCCTGTACCTGAAGGTTAGTCATTTTAAAGGGCTGGTCCCTCAAGGGAAATGGATGGTAAGAGGGCTAAGTTAGAGGATGACCAAGTACTAAAAATGTCAAACTACTTCACTGGAGACAGTGAAACTCCTGATGAGAAGTTGGAGACTGAAGTGCCTACGTGGCATTTTCACTGCTGGTACCCGATGAAGCCTGTACCTTAAAGGAGAAGTGGGAAAGCACCAGCTGTAGAGGGGATGCATAAGAGTAAGTTTCAGCTTCCAGCTTCACCATAGCTAACATGGAAGAACGTGCCCTTGGAAAGAAAAACAATGCACACAGTTTATGAAGCTCAAGAACGTGTTGCTAATGCAATCCACAGTCTTGATGGAAAAACTTTTAAACTGGAATTGGGCTCAAAACTCTCATTTTTGTAGATTGAGTGATTGTGTAATTCATACCTTCATTATATTGAGTCAGAAAACAAAGGCCCAAAATGGTATAAATTGTGCCCAAAGTTTGCATTACTACAGGGACCAGGACCTGCTCAATCTAATTTCCAGCTAACATATACTTTGTCCCAACTCATACATATCACTGAGACACAGTGGAATGACATTGGTAAGTAAAACATTTGTAATAACAGAGCAGACATGATTCACAAAACATAGTTCTATCAGAGAAGGAAAGGAAAGAGCAGGTAATAATATTTTTCCCATAGTGATTCTGAATAATTGTCCAATTTATAAATTTCCCAAGCTCCATTCTAGAGAATCAAATCATCTTAGCTCTGTATACCACCAGTTGATTGCTAGGGTTTGCATCTGAGGTATCCCCCAAAAAGCTCATGTGTTAGGCATGCAGAAATGTTCATAGATGAATTAATTAGATTATGAGAGCTGTAATCTCATCAGCAGATTAATCATTTGATAAATTGGTAATTTGAATGGATTACTAGGTGGTAACTGTAGGCAAGTGGGGCATGGCTGGAAGTAGGTCACTGGGGTTATGGCCTTGGAGACTATATTTTGTCCCTGACATGCCTCCCCATCCCCCTCTCTCTCCTTTTTCTTTCTCTTTGCTGGCTGCCACGAGTTGAAAAGTTTTCCTCTACAAAGTCCTTCCCGGTGTTCTGCCCACCTCCATCTCAGAGAAATGGACTCAGCTAACCATGAAACCATGCCCCAAAATAAATTTTTCTCCTCTAAATTGTTCTTATTGGGTATTTTGGTCACAGCAATGAAAAACTAACTAATATAGATGGTATTACCATTGTTTGATGTCATTTGTCTTCAGCTGACAATGAATTGGGGATTCATTCTGAAATGTTTTAGGAAGATTATTAATCTCATTTTTCCTGCTAAGAACAAAAAGCAATTGTAAATGGGAATAAAAAGACATCTATGATTTTTGTGGAAATGAATGTAAAGATACTTTCCCAAAACAAGTTAAACATGGAGAGATGATGACAGATGTTACTACAGGACAAGTTTGTTGGAAACAATTCTAGAAGAAAAGATGAATTATGCAACATGTGAAAGGTGCTGTGGCTATACAATTAAATAGCAGTCTCCACAAACGGAAAGAAGATAGCAATGAAATGTAAGACCTTTTCAATATGTGTAAAGGTTCAGTTTCAAATATCAGACGTTCACTCACCTAATTCAGAAGGCTGATCAAACTTTTATTAGCTTCCACAGAGAATGCATTTGGAGATGTACAAAATCAAATAAGAAATAAGTACACAAATAAAAACACAGTCCCATCAATATCTGCAGAGACCAACACAAAGGGTAGCTTTCCTACTTCACAGACTTAGGGTAGATAAAATTGATTTGTCTCAGAACAAAAGACCTGAGAGAAAGTACATGTGCAAGGAAAAACATGTTCCTTTATATAAAAACATCCAAGGACATTCTTAAGTGGTGGAAATACAACCAAGGGACTCCAGACTCAAGTCTTTCAGGATGACTTTGTCCTTATGCACAGACACACAGAACTCAAAGGAAAACAGCTTCCCCACTTAAAGTAAATGTATAAATAGTGCACTGAGTGTCAGAAGCTAAGCCAGATGAATTCAGGTAAACCAAAGGAGCAAAGAATGAACTACTGATGGGGCTATTTTAATAATGGTTTCTTCTAGTCCATAAGGGCATCTCTGGTTTATCTCCTTTGCTTTATAACAAACACCAAGTGGTTATACATTGCTGAACATCCTTGGGTTTGGTGCACAGAACAAGAGGTATAGTCAAGACCTGGATGCGGAAGCATTTGGTACTTTGGTTATCACCAAAACCTCAGCTCTATCCTTTGCATTCTTCGAAGCAAGCAGTACTTATCAGGTTTTCATCAGAATCACACAAACATGTATTCCTTCCAATACAATAAACAAGTACCAAACTTCTTTCATCATCAACATCAAAGATATCATAAATCAAGGTCAAAAATTAAAGCAATGGCTAGAAAAATTACACGAAGAAAAAGCTGCATAGTAAATCTGACAGAAGTAAGACAATCAGGGAGCAGTTGTTTCAAAACATACATGGTATCAAAACACCTTGCTTAGGATGGAGTATTGTACATAAAGATTATGCAGAGATACAATTACAAAATAAAGCAAAAAGAACTTGGGCAAGGATAGAGAAGGAAAAAAAGTGACACATTTGAGGAGTGTGTTACATCCACAAAATTAGTAGGCAGCTGTGGTTGTGTGTGTACTTGGAACACAGAATGAGTGTAGAAGCAAATACAGTGACAATCTTGATATTCTTTTCTGTCATCTGCTTTAAAGTCATCTTTGTACAAAGTAGTTAATGTGTTTTTAATCGGTTCTGTAGGTGAGTTCATCCTTCAAAGTAAGAAAAAACACTAAACTTAGTTGGGATCAATGAAGCCTCAGGTAATGACCAGTGCTTTGGGAAAAAGTGACCCTTGGCAGAGTCAGACATAAAATACACCAATAACTTTGTTCTTGGTTCTTTGTTCAGAGAAGGAAGACCAATATAAGAACTAAAGAGCTCTTAAATGCAGTTCAAGAATGTGTTTTAAGTTCTAAAAACGAATTTCTGACCTTATTGTCACAAATATAATCCCAAAGGGAAGGAGGAGGAAAAGCAGGGGACTGTTTTTGAAAGGAACCTCTGGCCAGCTAGGGGACTGTTTTTGAAAAGGTCAGATTTGAAAAGTGTATTTGCAAAACCAAAAGTGGCCAAGGAAGTAGACAAGAGAACACAATAAACTGGGGCTGCATCCTTGCTAAAGTAACTATCCATTTGCTTGCTTACTTATTATACAATCCAAATGTGTATATGTGTACTTGTACATATGTATATGTATGTATGTATGCTTATTTATTTATTTATTTATGATAAAAAAAGATGAATTGTTACCACTTGTTCAAGCCGGTGGTAGGATTTTTTTTTAAATCCAATATTCAAAAGGATCTCATTTGAGAATAGCACTAATTATGATGTCTCATTCTTATATTGAGCAAAATTCACCATTCTCCCCATCACTACATGAAATGAGATTTAAATACTAGAAGAGACTTTGTCTATATCAGAAGTCACAAAACCAGTGACTGACATCTGACAGATAATTTGGATAGATGAACAGGCCAAGCAAGAGGCAGCAGTGAATGCTGGGAATGGTGACCTGGAGAATGTGTCCTCTATCAAAAGAAAATGAGATTTGAATTTGAAAAATACATAAACACTACATTGGCCAACTGAGATATCCTCAAATTTCATCTGAGTGCCTTCAGTTTACAATCCCTTGTTTAGAGGATTTCTCAGATTCGAAGAGGGAACATGACTTGTGCAAAACCCACAATCAGTCAATAAAAATAGAGACAATGATGATATTAAATTCTAGAAGTAATGAAATGGCTTACCTGAAAAAATAACCTGATTGAAATGCTGAGAGCTTCAAATCTGTATTCCATTCAAGTGGTTCTACAAAAACAAATTTCGCCTCTTGGGGATATTTATGAGTAAAGTGCTCCACAAACACAATAATTTCTCTCAATATCTCCTCGTTCAGGGGGGTAATCTCCAGGGTTCCAGTGCCATAACCCGCAGCAGTCCATTGTGCAGATCTTGTGAGTGCCACGCCCATGGGAACAGCTCACACTGGGATCTGAGCTCACACTCTATCGGAGTAGAAAGAGTTAGAGCAGGCAACAGCATCCACCTTTCCCCTGGAACATTTTCCAAGATTTTAAACCAGTGTAACCCAACCCTCATTCTGTCTCTTCATCTGAGAGGCTCCGTTTTTAATTATCTAATTACTCTTCAATTCAATAAAATAGGTTTACAGTAAATAATAAAATAAATAAATAAACCTGACTAGTATCAAAGGACATTCCAATATCTGCCTGCTCTGAAATTAATAACTTCTTTCTAAGAGTCTCAGGCCTAAGAAAGAGAATTCAAACAGCTGGACAGAAAACCCAAACAGAAAATTCAAAGAGTGGAAAAAGAACTGGAGGTGGCTGGCAGCAAGTGCCTTGTTTCACAGCTCTGCTGGGGTGCTGGAGGTTTGAGTGAGAAGTGCTTATTTGATGTGGGCCAGACATCATTTAGAATTATACTGAGACTTCTGTAAGTTCCCCCAAGTGCCTTTTGAATTAATAAGAAGCAGGATAAGAATGCAATTGTGAAGTATAACTTTAATTTTTTCTGAAAATTAGTATAGAACATATTGATCCTATCATGAGAATATTTTAACAATCCAAATTTTATATCCCCTGCCCATTCATGTTGCACAGAATGAAAAAAAATTTATTGTAATTCACAACTTTCTTTTGAGAACAAATGTGACAGAAACAAGAAGAGAAAGTCTTCTTGGACTGTTATCTAAATTGGCTATCAAAACAGTCTAACAATAATATTTAAAACCAAAATTCAAATGAAATAAATTTCACCTTGGCTAAATCAAAATTTAGTCTTTAAAAGATCTTTTAAAAGATGACATTATCTGTAACATTAAATAGGAATCAATTTTGAAAACAAGTTCTGATGTTAATTCATAATGGGTATTGTTTTCAAATAAACTATACTTGTGTGTGCTCTCATTTGTAATAATACTGATCATTAAAATCTTCTTTCCTGAATACTAGATAAATGGTTACAAAGTTAAATATCGAATATATTCATATTTTTATCCATTATTATTACAAAGGCCCAGAAATATAAGATTCTACAGAAATGACTTGGAGATTAAACTTTCCATAGTGTATTAAATCTTGAAACCCAATAAAAGGATTTTAGCACTCTAAAAAGGGCACTAATTCCTGCTCGGAAGCAGTATAGAAATATTATAAAGGCATCTAGTTACCAAAATGAAAGAAAGAGGACACCAATGGCATTTAGTGATGAAGACAAAGAATGCCCAATGTCCTTTTGTGTAGGACAATAACCCAAGAGGAAGAATTCTGTTGCAACCTAAAGGTATCTGGTCAGAGAAAAACTTCAGATAAGCAATATGTGAGCCTGGAATTTTTCTTACTTTACAAAAATCACCAAGTATTTTTTCCCAGTTTTAACATACATAGCATAACATGCTGAATTTTCCAGGATTGTAACTGTCATACAAATGAAAGGAAGACTGTACATATTTCATTTTACCAAGAGCTCAGCATTTTGGAAAGGCATATGCTATTGGTGGCAATGTTATGGACAAAATTAAAGTTGCAATGACAGACCTCAATTGCAAAATTAAAGTTGCAATGACAGCCTGCATTTGGCCTAAGTAGCATCTGATAACTTTCTTATATATTCTAGCATGGTGGTACCTAAGCATTTATAATTATTTTCCATTCAATTTTCCTTTTGCAATTAGAATACTATCAATATTCCAAACTATATTACATATGTAGGATTATTATATATGATCTTGATTCCAGAATAGTAAAGTAGCATTATAGAATATTTATTACAAAAAAAACAAGCATTGGATCAGATAGAGTTGAAACAACTGATCAAGATAGATAGCACTAGTGAAATATATGTAATTAGTGTACAATTTTTTTGTTATTTTGTTTCTATTGTTAATTGACAGAAAATGTTTTAGATTCAAACATATAAGCACATATTGATGTTAGTGTGGCACTTGAGTTTCCCCATGTCATGAGAATAAATATAAACTAAGAATAAGTGCAAATAGCTTTATCTTACACAGAAAGGCTTTGATGGACAGTTCTGTTCTTTTTTTAATTTTAAGCATAACATTTGTTTAGGTGATCTTATAAAGATGTAGTGATTGCCTCATTTCCTTCCTACACCTTTTTTAAGAATAATGTGAAATTGCATAGATTACATAAAATTGTGGAAGTCAACATACCATACAATAACTTCTTAGAAAACAATTTAGAAAGGAACTAATAAATACAAAAAAAAAAAATCTTTTTGTCATGAGAAATTTTATAGAAATGTAAGTGAAACTTACATTCGAATCTATTCAAATTGTTTTGATCCAGGAGCCACAGGGATACACCAGCTTTATTCAAGAAGGCTGGTTAGCAGAAGCCATAAGCAAACCTTAGGGATCTATGTCAATCCAGAAGACAAGTGCAATATTACTGGGGGGTGGGGGAGAGTGTTCAAATGAGGTCAGCATAACTCAGGTAAAAATACTAAAACCAAAACTTATCAAGATAGGCTGCTTCTGGTGTCTACCCATCACCAATCCATTAAGTCTTTAGGCCTAAAAAAAACCATGGTTACGATGAATCTGTGCAAACACAATGTACATATATTTGAATTAAAGTAAATTTTAAAGAAAAAAAGTTCAAAGATAAAAGGAGAAAGGTTTCCATGTAGGTGTTTGTTTACACAAACTGGGAATCACAGTCTCCTCCTTTTCTCTTCAGATCCAGTAGATAGAATTTGGTTTTTCTTTTTCCAAATCCGTTTTGAGCTTCGACTATCATTAATAAAATGAAACCCTTTCGTGCACAATCTCTGTGACCCTGGAGCGGAGGCGAAACCAAGCTCTTTAGAAAGCAATGGAAACGTGGCCATCCACTCTGAAACCTGCTGGTAACCCCCCTGGGGAGCCAGAGCACACCCGCACTCTCAGCATCGAGAAGCCAGTCCCTGGGACCTACAGAAAACCCAAAATTCCAGAACTGACACGAGCCCAAGGCGGCGCGACGCCGGCCCCCACCCCACCTTCACGAGGAGGCTGCGTTTCCAGGGACGGGGTGGGAAGGGGCTGCAGAGACCAGGGGGACAGTGAGGACGCAGAGCCGCGAGGGCGGGCGGAGGAAAAGGGAAGGAGACGGGGAGCGCCTGGGGGAGAGGATTCAGCCTGGACGGTGGAGACGGGTTGGAGGGGCCCAAGGTCCGGGCGGGCCGAGGCAGGGAAGGTGACGGAGAGGGGGACAAGGAAGGAGAGAGCCGGGCTCCGCTCCTAGCCGAGAAAGGGAGGACCGAGAGAGAGACGGCCGCGGGGCTGGGGGCGGCCCCGGGTCCTCCACCGTCGGCAACCGGGCGCGGGGTCCGCCGCGCTGCACCCACCTGCAGCGCCTCCGGAGCCCGCCGCCCGCGGTCCGGCCGCCGCCCGAGCCGTTGCTAGGACGCCGGTAAACACCCGCGACGGCGCTCGGCGTGGCGCTCGGCGGAGCGCACGGCCTCGGGGACCTCCTGGAGCGCCGCCGCAGTCTTCAAATGCCGCGTTTGCCCGCCCCGACCGCAGCCGAGGTCCGCCAGCTCCACCGCGTCCCAAGTTTCCCCGCCGAACCCGCGGCTCCGAATTCTGGCGACGCTCTGCGCTGGGTTCCACCAGCGTCGGCGACCTGCTGCTCGCCTCTAGTCCCCTCCCTGGAAACTGCTTGGTTCCACTGTCTTCCTCCAGGACTGGAGTATTCATCCCGACTCATTCTGGGCAATGGGGCCTGTTTATCTTAATTAAACTGGGGGACAGTTGAGGTGCTTTTAGCAGCCACATAAAATGAAACAGAAAGCGAAAAGCAGAGAATAGTCCTTAGAAACATGGTTTCTGTGGTTCTCCAAAGGTTTCCAGATAAGTGTATTTTGTGTACCTTATAGCTTCAGAACCCTGGAAAATAGCATAGGGATTACATTTCTCTTTCCAAAAAGATAATAGAGTAGAACGTGTTAATATCACTAGAAAAGCAGAAACTGCTCCTCAAAGAACTTGAATGAAAAGAAAACCTTCCGCCATCTTTTATTTTAGCTTTTTAATGTATTTTACCTTTGTCCATCAAGATAGTCTTGATCCCCCCCAGGAGACACACTACTATCAAGAAGCCCAACTCTGAAAAAAACTCTGGGGACTGAGGAAGTGGTAAAAAGAAAATATTCAAAGTAAAACAATAAATAAATAAAACAGAATGAGCAGTATACAACTTTAGGGGGCAGTGTGTTTAGCAACCAAGCTCTGGATAATTAATTGAAGGTCAAAGAGTGTTTAGAAACTAAACCTGATTCTTTCCCAAAGTCAAAGAGGCTTTGGAATGATGTTAGGGTAGTATATGTCAGAATGTTATACTGCCTCATTTCAACCACGGAACCTTTCTGTAGATACTTAGAATATGAAATAGAGATATTTGGCCTTTGTTTTATTTTATTTGTATTCTCTTTTTGAAAGTATAAAAGCTGTTAGGAGTGGAATAGTTTTGCCTAAAGGAACCATATGCAACAGAGAAGTGTAATAACCTGTCTGAAAGGGGTCAGTGCCCTTAGGTATATAGGGGAGCCCTTTAGAAAGATAGATGAGACACTTAGAGACAACAACAGCATCATACCTGTGGAGCTAATTCAGGCCACAATATGGTGAAAACTGTAGAGTTCACCATTCAGAAGGGTTCTGGAGCATTCCTGAAAGAAGCTAAGCTTCTTTAGGTACTTAATTTCACTTTTTTGAAATCATCTATGTAATATGATGGAGCATTACTGGGCTCAACATAGAAACCAGCCAGAAATCTATAGTTCAGGGCATTTGACAATGGTTTGTAAAGCTGAAAAAGCTGGTATTATCAAGATCTGAGCATTCATGTCTTCTTTTGCCAAACTCACACCAATATCACAATGTACCATTGCCTAATCTGAAGGCAAAATTTGAACTTATTTTACCTGAGATTTTTTCAAGTA